CTACACTGGTCAGTGACACACTTTGCTACAGTTATGTTTGGGGATGGTGATGTTTGCCACAGAGACACATTTGCCACAGTTTGCTGTATGTCAGTCTTACCTAGGAGGGTATCTTTTTCTGGCAGGTTTCATGGGTGTGTTCTCGGCAGCACGTAGCGTGCACGAGTAGCGCTGGGTGACAGAGCTGGTCAGGAAGCCCAGGATAAAGGCTACTGCCAGCGGCGCAGAGGTCCACAGGCAGCGGGTGCACGTTCTGTGGACGCACAAACCCACGGCACTTACCGTCAAACTCTGACGCCAACCCATATCACGTCACGGCGACCAACACAAGTATAGATAGATGGACACAAGGGTTGGTAACTTTCATGGAAATGTTTTAGTGACTCAGGGTGTTATGAGTTAATGACCCATTTTATCTCATACCTATTTATATAATTAACCAGGCTAAGGAATGTGCCTGATATTTTCACCTGAAGAGAAGGGGAATACAAAATGTACATGTATTAGTAAAGTTTTTCGTTTGTTTCTCACCTTGTGCATATTGGAAATTGTTGCAACATAAACTGTAGCTAAACAAATACAGTCATGACCCTTTTGTTTTAAAATGTCAGTCCATTAGGGCTGAATTGTTGGCTGACTTCACCATTTCTGCTACAATGACAAGTGGTTCCATTACTGAGACTTGATATCATCTTACAAAGTCAGACTGATTATGATTTAAAAAGGTAATGGGATGATAGATGGAAGGATGGGAAGAGGAAGAGGAATGGGGGAGTTTTAATATTTATTGAAAATGTAGCAGTACATTACTTTGACCTTCAGGCAGCCAGGCTGATTGTGAAGGTCAACACATAGTCATATACATTATACTGATGTGGGAGGGAGGGAGTTATAGAGGGAGTGAGAGGCACATGCAGTTCGAACAGTAACTGAGGAAGAGACAGCTGAGTACATGGGATCAATCCCTCACCTTGGGGGGTACATTTTTCTGGCCCCGCCCACACGGGCGTCGACGGTCTGGTTGCCATAGTACCAGGCGGAGGCGGCTGCTGCGCCCACTCCCCCGGCGGCAGCCAGCATGCGAGCATTGCGAACGAAGAACGCTGACATCTTGCGTGATCTTAAGGAACTCAGGAATACAGAACCACTGAAAAGTTATCTGGAAGAAAATATACTCAATGTGAGAAAACACCCACTGTCTATCTAGTAATACATCTAACTGACAGTTTTACACATACGTACTGAACAAAGCGATATAAATTACAATGAAAGCTATTTACATGCTGAATAAGGGTCAATTGTGAATGCCGGCGCCTTTAGATTTTGAGATCTTGCAAAAAAGCCTCACACAGTAATGTACATTCAAGCCGGAAAAATATTAGACTGGATAAAAATACATTTTATTGACACCTACTCTTATAAGTTATAGAAATCCACCTGGGTTTTCAATGTAGCTTTCAATATAGTGAGTCACTACTAGTACATATAATGTATGTACACAGAAACAGTAATGCTTCAGCCACTTAGTCTTTATAATTACTGATCACAAGACTAGTACTACTATAGTACTAACTTCACTGCCCAGCATATTATGTGGTTATTTACTAGTTATTGATTAATACTGGTGATATGCACTGCCATGGTAATGAGTCTAATCAATATTTCTGCAGAGACGATGCCATGTACAGTAAATGTGTATCCATAATGCAGGGCACACTTACTACACTGTAATATGTGCTACCAAGGTGCTACATACCTACCTGGGATTATGGCTGTTAATTGTAAGATTTTACCAAATGACTGAAATACAAATTAGAGAAATGGACTTGACATTCCCAGTGCAATGCACATATGTATATATTTTCTGTATGGGTCCACATTAGAACTGAGCCCCTACCTATACAGGCCAGGTCTTAAGTATGTCTACCTGAGCCCTGGAGGCACTGACCTGTAAACACATAGTTACCACCTTCAGAAGCACCTGTTTAAGTGTTTATCATACAAACAGGTGCCCAGTTCTCTGCATTGAAGGCAAGTTTTAAATGGAAACCTTAAGACTGCTAAAAGCCTCCACATCTTGAAATATGTATACATGTACTAGTATCTTCAACATACAGCACCTGTGCTAGTTATGCTGTAGCAGATATTATGCCTTAATTATGTATGCTCAAGACTCTGAATATTCCAAGCTATTCCAGTAGTAACCCAGTATACCTTTATTAGGACACAAATGCAGTGTACCCCATCCTACTTAATCAGACTGAGTGCTGTACATTATGTCTCTTTTCAAAACCCAGCAGATTGAAATTATCGGGAGGAGACAAATCAATAGTCCCTGTGTTGGTTCCCTGTGACAAGATGGCGGTACTGTTCCCTGGAATGGGACTGCAGGTAGTGAACTGTGGATGGGAACTGGGGGAAACACACAATAGCACCTTTTCTAAGCTTAGAGAGTCCACTTTAAGGATTAGGTAATTGTAACATAATCCAACCCTTTAAGTCTTAATACTAGGCTACTACATGTACATGTACTAGTAATATATAGGCTCAAGTTGTAAAACAACATTATGTTGGAGTACAAAAATTGATGTACCAAGATTAGAATAAATTACAATAAAAATTCTAGTTCCAAGCCAGTTATACAAAGGCTTGCAAAGTTTCACACAACCAGCTAAAAGCTTGTGACCTGGTGAGGGATAAAATCCTACCATTATAAATTCACTTGGGAGTCGGATGGGATTACAGTATGTGGTTTATTTTCATATTTTTAAGTAGAGCCTTTACAACTGATGCAATTTCCTCTCATCCAATTTAGCTAATTAAAGATAAAGAAACAGTAGCCATCCTGAATTAATGTTGCTATTTTGTTTTCAGCACAAGCCCCCCCAGCTATCAGCTGACCCCTCAATGGAATGGTTTCCTAGCAACATAGCGTTCCTTTGTGTACTCTGTAGCAGAGAAACAGAAACAAAGAACTCAACAGACACATTTCAAAGTGCCATGGTTTACATGCAAAAGTACAGCCCCTTTGTCTGAGAAACTCAGAAAGCCCCTCCAAAAAAAATATATAAATGTTTGTGATTGCATGCACTTCCTTTTATCTTGAACAGATTTAAGAGGGTCTGCATGGGGGGGGGGTCCTGGCAACGGTTAACGGTGAATTCAGCAGGGCCGATAACGCTTAACGGTAAATTCAGGACGGTCGGCAACGCTTAACGGTAAATTGACAGACTTTTTTTCGTTCGAGCTGCACTGGATTTGGTATCTCGCTTTGTTGGAAAAGGTGATCACTGACAAAATTACGTATATCTTACATGTAATGAAGCACGCATTAAAGGTATGTGTACCCTGTGTTCCCCACATGCCCTGGTCCCCGAGTGCATCCACAAATAAAGGGGAGTCTGAGTCGACGTCAGCCAGCTTGCATTTTTTCAGTCTGCCCAGTGGATTTTGAGAGGGTAGCGTCGTAATCTAGGGGGGTCCGGGGAATGCTCCCCGGGAATTTTGGATTTTTAAGCCTTCAAAAACGCAATTTCCCACATTTTGAGAGGCAAATCATGGTGTTGAGAGTGTTTGTCGGTCCTTCTGATGTTTTCACATTTTACTCAAGATTTTTGTTAATTTGCCTGTCAAGGTTGACGGATTCTTTAAAAAAAATTCTGTAACTCTCCGCAAACTTCCGGAAATTGACAGGAAAGCTGGTTCTGGCTAGAGCCGCAGGGGCCGAGCGCAGAAGCGCGAGTCGAGCGCCAAAGGCGCGAGCAATGTAGGGGGGTCCGGGGGCATTCTCCCCCGGGAAATTTTGTATTTTGAACCTTCAATGACGCATTTTCCTGCACTTTGAAAGGCAAAATTAGGCGTAACGAAGAATTATTCATTAACGCTTAACGCTGAAATGGCTGAATTTAGGATGACAAATAACGTTTTACGTTGAATTAAAACGACCAATAACGCTTCACGAGGAATATACTGATAACGCTTAACGTTAAATTAGAGCGGGCCGGCAACGATTAACGGTAAATTAAAATAGCCCATAACGGTTAACGAAAAAGGGCATGCAGACCCTCATTTAAGTCAAAGATTATAAACCTGTCCAAGAACAACCACATTTTTTTGTACATTTTTGAAAGTGAGTGCATGCGTGCAAGAGGATGGGTGTGTGAGTTATTAATACAGACATTCTGTTAGTAGGTGTGGCATTCCAGTTCCCTGCCTAGGTCAGAAGTATGGACTACCACAGTAGGGGTCCTGCCTACTCTAACCCCCACCCCGTCATGCCTAAATAGGGCTTTATGAGGTTCAACTTTGAAATTCATATTGAGGCAGAAGTCTTGCAAGTTAAGTGTCGTCAGCAGCAAAAGGACAGGTTTGAATTGGTACATGCGCTTTCCCCGTGGGCTATGAATCATTAATGTCAAAGGCCATTCTTCTCAATTGGTAAACTTTTAACAGTCACGTACTCAGACGTAAGTACAATGTACTTTCTAGATGGTACTGTTCCAACAGGCTGACACGTAGCATTCACGTGCATAAGTCTGGCTAGTACATGATAAAGGAATTATGGAAATGTTATCATTTTTGTTACTTTTGCAATTCCAATTTCACAAATCCAACAACAATATCATTTTATATATTGTACATGTATATAGTAGCATAACAGTTACCAAAGACACATTCCTTTTCAGACAATGAATGGAGAACTTACGTTACAGGTGTTGAAATTTTAGAGAAAACATTTCATGTAACATGCAAGCAAAGTTTTATACACATATTGGGAGGCATTGGTCTATAATTGTTGATTCTTGACATTTTTTTATAAGTGACAAGGAGTGCTAAAAGCGTCCTTAGTAAAGCGCTCGGAAAAGCGGGTTGCATTCTACTGATAGCCCACACGGACCCTAGAAGTATAAAAGCACTTGAAACTCAAAACCAAATAGCGTCCTGCTTTCCTTTGTTTGTGTCTTCCGATAAGATATAAGATTGCATTAAATAAACAGTTGTCCATTCATGATTCCCATCCGCCTGCTCCCTGCCCCTCCCCCAAGTGCACCGTGCACTGTCTGTTGTTACACAGGGCGGCTGCTAAGGTGTGATCGATTAACGATATCATAGTTGTACACATATGCATAAAAATGCGAAAATGTTGGGAGAACAGCATACAAAACAGGGACATGATTTGTGCCTAAAACCCTGCGGCCCCGGTAAGGTCAAAGCCAAAAATTTTGTACCGACGAGGACCGGCGTGTTCGATTCTTCGTAAAAACACACATTCTGTAAACCACGATTTTACGGCGGATCATTGGGTATTTGAGCCACACAAAATACGAACATGTGCAGCATTATCTCGTCTACCTAACCATGAGGAGATCTATATCTAACTCCTTATAAAACACAAGAAATCCACATCAATGTCAAGAGTACCACGTACCTAGCCGGTGCCTGGATCTGCGAACTCAGACTGAAGACATAGAGACAAGTAGGTCGGCTGTGATTGGTTAATGGACAATAAACGACGTTTCTGATTGGTGTAGTAATAAAGGCGGCTCCTTCAGGTCGACTGTTGATTGGTCAATCGGTTTCCACTGATATTACCCCCAGTGAACATTCGATCGATTGTCGTCTGTTACGAACGATAACGAGGCTAGCGTGTAATTTGAGAGGTTAAAAATCGAGATAGCAATGTTTTAATCTTCTGCTAAAAGAATATCATTTCAATCCATATTATTGTCATGAATAGAATTATTTATTCATATGAATACTTTTGTGAAAAAAATATTTTGCCGAGTTATCCCATGAAGCATAGGGCTTCCGGTCATCAGCTCATCAGACGAAGATTACCGAAGACTTGCGAAGGTGACGTAATATTCCAGACGGACTTCCCCAGTGATTCCCAGTGAACTCCGCCGTCAGTGTGACCGTTCCTTCAGGCGGAGAGAAGTCATCCTAAAGAAGGTACAGATTTTTACTCTAAATTTTTTTCTGTGTCTTTATGTTTCAATCTGGTGCTTTATACTGAGGTCTACACATGACGTCATCTTCGTGAGAAATGGCGGCAGAAATTTTATGCATGTCACGTGACCTTTCTGCTTTGTGAGCCCATTTTCCAGGTACAGGCGTTTGCTGTTTAATTGTCGGTATTTTCTAACCTAAGGTTGGTCAGGATTGGAATAATCTCGATGTCGCCGGAAGGATTATGTAATGGGGAACATCTGGGGCGATTTTTAGGAAACTTGGTGCTTTTTTTAAAGCCGTAGGGTTAGGGAAGTGTGGCCCGACGGGCGAGAGTGAGCACGCATGGCGTCGCAACAGCACGCCGCAAGAAACTGTTTTGTTCCCTTTCCACAAATGGTTTTGCGGCTGTAAATACACATTCTTAGTCTGAGGAATGTGAAAAATGTTTCCCGCAAAGCCTGTTTGGCTTCAAGAGATCCTCATGTCTCCAAAAAATGTTTTGATAAATTAGTTTTTCGTGTGTTAGCGAAAATGTGTTGTCTTTCCCCTTGCCAAACGACGTTTGTCAATCCACTCACTTCTCAGTCATCAATGATGTTTGTGTCCAATAAGTGTCGAACGTTCGCAAACTGGTCATCATATCAGACGAATATCGTGCTCTTTGATAATGTATTTTCTTTGTCTCTGTTTCCCCGCAGATTTTGTATTTTGTACATACGTTGTTTTGTATATACTGTATATGATGAGTGCGGTGGGGACACGTGGTTCCCGAGGAGGCCATCGGGATCGAGCTTCCTCGGCCAAGACACAGACACAGCCCGGCGGCAAGGGAGCTCAAGGGCCGCAGCCTGAGCGGCTGCCCAAACAGGTTAGAAGCTCACGATCAATCTCTCACATTTCTAATAGCCTAGTTCGCCATGAAGCAGTTTGTAGACGTCATTTTTAAAGGTCAGTTAGACTTGGATAAGAAAATGGCGGTCATGACGACACAGGAAAAATATGATGTAAAATCCTCCCCCCCCCATCAATTATTTCTCAAACGATGTTTAAATGACGTGGCCGATTAGGAGAATATTCTAAGATGTTGCGCAGCTCTTGGGTCTTGGTAAAAGCGTATAATTGAAAGATTCACATGATAAGTTGGAAGTGCAAGATCTGAATTATGAGTCGTAGACTTGAAATCCTTAAAAGCCCCCTCCCACTTATAGACAAGTGCCAAGAAGTAACACTGACAAGTTCTGATCGATCTCCTGTAAGTTTGAAACAAGACTGACAGAGATTGTCTATACTATAGCAGACCATTGAAACATGACAGAAAAATCCATTCTTCCACATGAGAACAATCTATGCCATACACTGGTGATTAAAATGTGTACATGCTTGCAAGTTATTACTAAAGCCTCTAGATGTACTGTAATACAAAGTAAATTGGATGGCTAACCTTCATCAACGTACATCAAGTAGACATATTTTGGGACTAAGGCCTGCTGTTCACCATCATGTGAGTTACCAGCCCAGTTTTGGGTGTTTTCAAAACATTAGGCCTTGCACATGGTGCCTACATTATTTTTATGTAGTCGTATTAAAAACACAAGCAAAAAAGGAAATGTTAATAGCTACCAGATTTTTGCACTTTTTGTTTCTAGAGCACATCATGGGACCCTTATTGTGTTATGCCCCAGTTGCCAGATAATCCAGGGCTTAGTTAAGTTAGGATCAGTGCGTGGGGTGTGATAGAATTGATCAACATGACCAGAAGGGCAACGTTTACACACCATTTTCTATGAAGCAAGATAGGTATGTCAGGAAAAATTTAAAGCCTACTCCTTTCCGATTTTCCCATACCATTTTTGTATGAGGATTCATCTGTATAGATAAAACAAGATGTAATAACGAGATGTGATCATGAGTCAGTTATGTACAAACTTTCGCCCTGTCAGTTTTGCCAGCTTATCAACTATAGTCAAACCTTTCCAAGCCAAAAGTGGTCACCTTGGACAGGTGGTATCCTTGAAGAGGGTGGCCTCACAACATGACTGAGACATGGTTTCCAAGTTGAGATGTTTTAATGTCAAATGCTGTAAGTGTAAGCTAAGCATTCAGTTCTGTGGTGAATGCATGTGGGGAGGATGGCACATGGAGCAATTTACTTCGAACAAAAACATCATCCAGCAGTCAAGGTAAAGGAAATGATTTCTCATTTGTTATCATCAATAAAAAATAATAATATGATAGAAAATGATGTGGTCACCATGGGCAGGTGTCGGGCCTTGAGCGGACCCAGGTCAGGGCGGTCTCGGTCGTGTTGGCCAGGTGGTCAACTTAATGCTTGCGTCAATGGGGAAAGTTTTGGGGACTGAGAAAAAGTGGTCACCATGGACAGGTGGCCAACTTGAGGAGGTGTTCACCTTGGCAGGTTTGACTGAATCATTAACTGTGCCATGCTAGGAACATATGCTGATTTTGAAGTGAGTAAGATGCAGTAGCACAGTACATGTACATTTACATTTGTAAGTGCCACCCTGACTGCCCAGTGATGTGAACCTTGCCTAGAGGTTGGTCTGACCGGCGGGTGACCAACAGGCTCCCCTCCCTTTGACCCCACCCTCTCCTTAGTTCCCATGCTAACACCCCGCCCTCCCCTGTCTGTCCCCTGCCCTGAGGTTCCCCTGGTACAGACAGTTGGCCAATGACTCCAAGATTATGAGAGCTGAGGGCAGTCAGAATCTTGCAACTTAGTTGCGAAGCTTGTGCAACACTGCATATGAGTAGCATTGCAATGAAGAGATCACATGTATTTCTAGCTTTATGAACAAAGCAAATGAGCATAACATGGCACAGTAAAATTGGAAGAAATGTATGCCACACAGTCACTTGACGGGCTTGCATGGGATAATCATTGTAATGATGATCACGAACACAACACGTTCGATAGAAGGTAATGTGTAGTAAACCTGGCATTTCTGGAGTATATCCTTGCCAGGACTTCCAGCCAGCCAAGATGGTCCCAAGAGCCAAGACACAACAGGACATGTCTGGCACTCTGCAGTAATGGATTACTGTGGTATGTCATTTAACAGCCAATTATTGTCCCAGGGGTAGGTGGCTTGGACTACATTTGTACTGTGGAGGAGTCTAAATATATATCAAGTAATATAGATATCACATATATGATCAAACTAGAAAGCTAGATTGAAGTTGCAATTGACCTTTAATCTGAAATGTTTGAAATCCTACATGTCAGTGCTAGAAGTGGGCATGATTGTGCTATACTGTAATTACAGATGAAGTTTTCAGGAAAAGATACACAAATTGTTGGTAGGCTTGTATGCATTTACTGATTTAGTTTTCTTATCCGTATTCTTATGGTGTTTTACAATTTATTTTGCACTAAAGTACCCATGCTTCACAATGGCACGTTTAAGGATGGTCTTCTAACAAAGCTGTATTACTTTTGATCCTCAAAACGCGCAGACTATTTTGCGTTGTATTTGGAAAATTGGGTTATAGATGAATAATTTAGTTGGCAAGTTGATTCTAATAACCCCATACAAGACAGCTGTGATATGGGAGCTGTTATGTCTCTATTAAGTCTCCTGTTTCAGTGATGATGTTCTAATTTAGGGGCTGGTGCCTCATTGCCTTTCCATCTGCTGTGCAGACTGTGTGATGAAACAGGTCATTATCATAATGGAACGACTATTAATCATGCATGAGGTGTTTATTGGCAGCCTTACCTTCTAACCTTGGAACTAAATCTATTTTTACAACTTAGAAATGATGTTGTAATTAGGATAGTGTAGCATTATGTTTCCCGTATGTATAAATACAGCACACATTTTAACACAGCATAGAATATTAGGAAAATGTAAAGAATTGAAGAAGTGGCCAATTTAAATATCAGAATTGCAAGATGAGTTTATACCATTGTGAAGAAAGGTAAATTAAATCATATTCACCATAAAGAGGTTGTGTTCAGAAAAAGCCTGGGTCAAAAGTATTCCTCTACCTGACATATACCTGGATGTAGATCATATAATCAATAATAATCAAATGAGTATGCTACAGGAAAGATGTTGTCTTCTTCAACAGTCTACATTTGATTTTATCTTTCCCAAGGGGGTGGAATATGTTTTTTGAAATAATTTGGTTCCAAGGAAAAACTGATAATTGGTATCTACCAAATTACCAAATGTTGACTTGCCACAGCTGAATGTGAAATTGTGAACAGCTGGCAAAGTTTGCCAACATCATCGTGTGAACATCAGTCAAACAAGCTCAGACTAGTACTAGTAGTAGGAAGGGGGAAATTCAAACTGAGCATCATTTTTGTAACCCCCCAACTTGCCAAGTTACAACTCTTCCTTATTGAGAAGAAGAGAAATTTTAGCCAACATTGGAAACAGGGAGTCTTCAGTCTATAGTGTTGGTGGTTTAGTCTCATCTCCAAGCAGGTCTTTCAGTAGGCAAGACAGCCTCCAATTGGCAAGGCCGTATTCAGCTTCAGTAGCCTATTGGATGCTGTCTTGGCTACCAAAAGATCTGCTTGAAGATAAGGTTTACTCTACCAGGTGACCTGGTTATCTGGACAGGTCATATTATCCTAACCAGGGTTAGTTTGAGGTTGAAGGTCACATGTCCCACAGACTAGGTCATGATCAGAACAGGCCAGCTCATCTTTGTATTTGAACCTTGGTAGCCCTGTATCTGAACCCGATCCTTGAATCTGAATGGCAGTGAGTTAATTTTATCTATGTTAGATGGGTTCATTTTCAGCTGATTAGAAACAGATTTGCTGTTTGTGAACTTGATATTGTAGCTTTGTTCCCTATATAGGTTATAATGATTTAGCATCAGTTTGAAGTTGTATTGTGCAAGTTTGGTTTGCAAACTAATGGTGTGTTTGATTGAACAACAGCACCATGCCTTGTTATATAAAACCTGTGAAAAATAATGAGATTCAGAAGGTGCTTATGAAGAGAGCTTGATACTAGTGAGTTGAAATAGTTTTGTGATCTGTAAAGACAATGCTTGATCATGATGGTAAACAAAATGAAGATTCATGTTGACTCCAGGGCTGAGTCCTTGTACAGTCTATTTTAGGTGCTTGTGATGTATCTGTCTGCATGTTAGTAGTGAGCCATCTATACATTCATGTCATATTGTCTTGCATTTGTTCCTGAACATTTTGTTGTGGAATTCTGTAACATTTTTCGTGACAAAGTCGTAAAAGATGCCCATGATAGGTTTGTAAGATGTTTATGGACCAAATGCTTAGATTTAACCACTATTTAGCATTGATAAGAAATTTGCAACAGGCCATGACCTGTGATGTTTATGTATGTATGTATGTGTGTACACGCATGTGTAAATGATAGTTCAGCATTGTTGTATCATGTTCTTGTTGTTTCTGTCAGCCCCAGGCCACATCAGAGCAGATGCGGATTGCCCAGATGATCTCAGACACAAGCACAGAGGACCCCCAGTGGCAGGAGAAAATCCAGCAGGTCAGACTAACATCTTACCTGTCATGGAAAATTATTCCTCAAGAACTTCCTCCTTCTCAGTCACTGATGGAAGATGGCAGATGCCACCTGAAATGTCTGACTCCTCAGAATCTATCCAGCTTCTTGAATTGTAGTGTGTTAGGTTTCATAGTAAAAGAAATTCATGTACAGAACATCACAACTTGCTACAGGTGACAAGCTATAAGTTATCCTTGTACAGTGTTCGAAATACCTGTCTGCAGTCTGCAATCTGCAGATAGATTTCAAAGATTGCAGAAGAAAAATTTCTACAATCTGCAATTTTGCAGCAGGTAAAATTGGCACTTGGGATTTGGCGCTCTTGGCCCCAAGGACATACAACACTTAAGCTCCAGTTCTGAAACAACAGGAGCTTCCTCACTAATTTACATCAACCTTGTCTTGACTTGTCTATCTTTTGTTTCCTTTTGGACTTCCAAAAATTTGTATTCACTAATTTGCATATCAATCAATAGTTCATGCTTATAAACCTGCAAGATTGTAGTATAGAGGCATGTGTATTTGCAGAAAGTATTTCCAAATTGCAGAACAAAATTTTGACTCTTCTGCAATATTGCAGAATGCTAGAAAAAAGTATTCGACCACTGTTGTAGGTGTTTTTATAAGGAAGTTGTCATTGTATACCAAGAGTCATTGCTTCCATAAGAGGCAATAGAAAACAAATATGGTTGTTGTTATTTCCGTCAGGTCCGTGATGTGAGGCAGAGGGTTGGACGAGGCAACAGTTGCGCTCCATGATTGTGATGGGGATGCCAACCGCGCCATCAACATGCTGCTGGAGGGAGAGCAGGACCAAGTAAGAACCTGGGGTGTAGGGTTGACTTGGATTACATAGGGGGGAGTCTGGGTTCTCATTAGGATCTTTTCACAGACTCAGTGCAGGGGTCAGGTACAGAGGGCCACCTTTCGTACCTGGAGTGGTGAAGACATGCAGGGCATCTTTCCCCTGCAAGGTCTCAAAAGTCATAACCCACAAGACTCAATTTCCTTCAAAGGTAAAGGCCCTCGAAGGATAAACAAAACACACAAGACCATGCTTTAAACTTCATAATTACGTCTGAGGGCCCTTCACCTTCCACATTACCCACAATTACCATCTTATTCTTATAGAATGGATGCAAACTAGTTAAGTGTTAATGTTGAACTTGAAGTTGACTCTGTCCTTGTTCTGTCTGACCCAGGGAGAGTGGGAGACTGCAGGCAAGAAAAAGAGCCGTGGAGCTCCGTCCACACAGCGCGGGATTGACTCTGGGCCCCCTGGGAAGGAGAACAGAGAGGAGTACCGGCGAGGGCGGAACCGTGACGACCGGGACAGAGAGGGGAGCTCCAGCCGAGGTCGGGGACCGCCACGCATGTCACGCGGCGGCGGCCGGGGAGGATGTAAGGACTGGTCTGACAATATTCTCACACGACTTGCATTTGCGCACATAGATAGGCACACAGTTAACTGCATGTTTACTAGTTTACTGCATGTTCAAGGTCAGAAAAAAAGAAGCAAAACATTTATTGTACAATGTATTACTTGTTCAAAATTTTGAAGTTTTACTTAGCTATACAATTTCTGAAGAGGCAGTAAGGTTTGTAATTAAGTTTCCTGACATTCTGCTTTATTTTATGTTTGTTTTTTATTGTTTGGTTTGTTGTACCAGTGCACTTGTTCCCCCCAGAAATAAACTTCATGCCATCCTTAGTAAGTAGCACAATCCCTGGTAAAATTTCAGCCCGTCCAAGAGAGAACGGCATGGCGGAAGACAAGGAGGGCAGCAGAGACAGAGGCGGGCGAGGGCGTGGTGACAGGCGTAACCGTGGTGACAGGGACGGAGACAGGCGACCGGGCAGGTTTGGTATGTAACAAGTTTTTCTGTCTCTGACCCACAAGCCGTATTACAAGCAGAACATACTCAAGTACTCACAATATTCATACAAACTGCTAAAACAACTGTCAAATATTTTCAAATCCTCAAAAAAAGATTGAATGAAATTGTTGCAAAATTTCTACGACAGCATGAGGAAATTTCATGCATGAATCCAGGACAAAGAGAGTGATGGTTTCACTACTACAATAGATAGAGCTGTCATAGATGTTAGTTCAATCTTTTCTCTGAAGTACATGGTTTTTGCTGTTAGGCAGTTTTAGTAAGTCTTTATTATCTAACTGGTTACACAAATCTGATTACCTGGTTCTTAACTTGTACCCAGAACTGCTAACCGTCCATACTGAGGTCATCCATGGTAGAAGGATGGGTAGCAAGGACATAAGCTGGGCAAATTTTCATCTCACTCTGAAAATTAAACTGGACTGGCTTTTTCACCCACATGCTTCATTGTACATGACCTTCTAGTGTTATTGCTTGAAAAGCTTGATATGTGTCCATCATCTTGTTTTGATTGCAGTGATTGTCATGTGTCCATCCACATGTAGTGTTAGTGATTGCAGTGATTGACATCAATGTAGTGTTAGTGATAGACTTGCCCTGTGATGACAGAAAGACGCGTTATGCTGAGGAAAGGCCCGGTGCCGTGGGCAGATCCCCCCCATTTCCGTTCCAAGTTTGGTTCCAGTTTGCGTTGTTACAACTTTAACAACCTTCCTTTCTCTTGATTTTGCTTTTCTGGCCTTTGTTCTAGTTTTCCTGGTCTCTAGTCTGCCCTTCTGTTTTTGTGTTGGGGGTCTGTTCCAGTGCCGAGGCAGTGGTCCGGTGAGCACACAACACAAAGGACTGAGGGCAAGGACACTGTCCATCTGTGGTTGTCCTACTTGTGTGTTGTTGTTGTTCTGTTGGTGTGTTGTTGTTGATCATGACCTATTTGTTCAACATGGTGTGTTGTAGTGTTTTCTAATAGCTTCAGATCTCATCCTATTCACCTTCGCCCTACTTGTATCTTGAACCTACTTCTACATGCTGTTTTTGTGCTATAATTCCAGATGGAGCCATTTTTGCAGCTTTGTAATACAGACTTGGTTGAGAGCAATTCTGTGGCCATCGCCGTTGGTAAAGGTGGAGCTCTACAAACAGCAATCTTTCCTATGTATTTGTAGTAGATCATAACAGTTGGTACAGTACTGTACCAGGTTAGGGACTTTGCAGGCGCAGGGAGGTCATATTTCATGTCTACCACCACAAAGAGGCAACAGTCTTGAAAACACAGTCATGTCCAACCTTGGTACTAACCCCTCCTCACGGGGAACCCCATTGGTCCCCACAGGTCACATGAACGGCCCGTCCCGACCAGGCAGAGGGGGGTTCGGGAGGCCCAGACATGACGGACCAAAGATCGGGTAAGTCTCCTCATTGCACACATTTCACAGATCATGATAGGTAGATAATGATATAACATTTCATCATTTGAGAAAATGACAGCACTTAGACTCGGTATTCAACTGGTTATGACCACATCTGTCTTTTTTAAGAATGTTAATAAGCAGTTTCTGTGAAGCACACCTGAGTATGTGAAGTTAACTAGAGACCTGCTTCGGTCAGTTTTCGTTGTTAAAAAGTGTCTCTGAAAATGCTAGAGACCGTCTGTATGTGGATTACACGTCAACAAACAACGCTTCACGTTGGGTGCAGAAGTGTGAGGTGTCATCTGTTATTGCTAGGAATTAAAGGAAAGTTTTTTGTTTTTTTTCCTCTTTGCTTCTGCAGTACGTTTAATCCTGATGAGATCAAGACAGAGAAGACATCGGACATCTGGCCCAACACTGAGTCAGGTAAGACTGAGTTACAATTGTTTACTGTGTTTCCCTTGAACAGGGCTGATCTATTTCTCATGTATGGGTGTGTGTGTACACACATTGCCAGATTCTATGGAAAGCCCACAGTTTGGCTTGGTTATTGGAAGAAAGTTTAATCAAATTGCAAGCAAAATTGGAGGTAATAGAAAAAAAGTTTGAGCCCTGTTTTTCCTTAACTTGTACCTTCCCCGTCTGACTGAGCACCCCTGCTCATTAGAGTGGTTTGTTCCAGGTACATGGAACCCGGATCAGATCGAGACACAGGAGGACTGGGGAGCTGATGGAGACTGGACCGGAGATGTCAGTATTCCACACACTTGTATTTTTTGGGCTACTCCAGTTTATTCCCTAGGTTCTCAGATTAAAAATAAAAGTATTGCTAAAGTCATCACAACATCATGTAGGGTTAGACAGCTAGGTAATACCAATATAACAGTTTCTCGGATAAAGTTTGAAATCCAGTTACTTCAGTGACTGTTATCTCAAACATGAAAAACATTGTCTGATGGGAAAGTCTGTACCTCTGGTACATGCAGTTCAGGGAGCAAATATGGCAAGATGCAAGTTTTCTTCCCATCTTTTGTTTTTTTAAGTTCTTTTGGTAAGTTTGTTTGTAAAATGTGAGAACCAAGGAAATAAATTAGTGTAGCCATAGTTTGTTCTTTTGCATAGATATGGGTAAAGCTGATGTTATAAGAGTGAAAAAAATGACTAGTGTACTGTTTAGTGTACAAGTTCAAATCTGACTGCCCAGTGATGTGAACCTTGCCTGGAGGTTGGTCTGACCAGCGGGTGACCAATGGGCTCCCCTCCCTTCCATCCCATCTCCTTAGTTCCCATGCTAACACCCCGCCCTCCCCTGTCTGTCCCCTGCCCTGAGGTTCCCCTGGTACAGACAGTTGGCCGATGACTCTGAGATTATGAGAGCTGAGGGCAGTCAGAATCGTAAAATTTAACTACAAAGCTTGCAAAACATCCAGGATGTCAAAGCCAGCTTTCAGATCTAGAGTTCGCATTTTGGAAAGTTAATGCATGAATGATTTTGCACTGGTGGCTTCAGTTCTAAACAAGTCAATCATGTTCAAGGTTTCCTATGTGTGTATTCTCTGCTAGCTTAGAGACAATACTTGATAGAAAAAAGATCACTTTTTCAAATTTGATTGTTGGTGCACTGTGTATGTCATTATGTTCCTTACCTTACCAAAGTAAGCTAAGTTATGTCAATGTCTGCATTTACTGTACCTACTTCTGTCCGTGTTTTTTTAAAGTAGCGTAGTTGAGGTAATGTGACTTTACATGTCCTTACCTGTGATATGACCTAACCTGTCTCACCTGTAGCTGTCAGAGAGTAAGGTGTTCACACCCAGCGCACCTGTGGCCAACCCTGAGCCCATCAGATCCACGCCGTACCAGGGAGAGAGGTAACCTTCATGCTCTAGTCTTGTCATTAGAAGAACCAAATCTCTTCACAACTAGATTGGTGTGATTATCGTTAGATTTGCATGATTGATTTTGGTTCACATGATGTAATAGCTTTCTTTACTTCCCAATTTATGTTCTTCTGAGTTAATCTGAAGCCATTGGCTTGCCACTGATGAACCAATAATCATTGTGTTACAGTAAAGATAGGACAGTAATGGTAGTTCTCTTACATAGTGTGTTCCCAATATTGACTTTTGAGCCATTTAATTCTGTTCATACATTTGTAGTTACTCTTGGAATCGACCAGACCAGGCCATGATGTTAGTTTTAAAACCCTTTTTCCCCTGTTGATTTCATCCCAGAATCGACCTGGCGAAGCTGTTGAACCCCAATGGCGGCTCGGCGGGCGCTGCAGAGACGAACGGCCCGCAGTCGTACGGTCCGATGGGCGACAACATGAGCAAACTGGGGGCGGCGCCGCCCCAGGGTCTACATCAGGTAGATTTCCTTCGTCAGTTACAGGTAACCCGTGGTCCTACAACCCTCCCTTCCCGTGGATACTCTACCTACCTGTCCTACTCTGTGTTCCTCTGAGTGGCCTGTCAGTTAGTTACTTTCTACCAAGGGATAAAACAAAGCATGTTGGCAGCGCCAGGGGCTGAATTGTACAGCTTGGACAGTTTACATTATAGTTAAAAGTATATGCACACTCAACAGTGGTTCATTTTAGCAGTGTAAATTTGATTGCCTTTCTTCTTAGAAGTGAATATTTCAGAGATAGTTAGGCACCTGTCAAGGAAAATCATGAAGGGGGGTCCTCAAAATAATGAATTCATTTTTTTTAGACCTTCAGACCAACGAACGGCTACGTGAAGATAGATCCTTGTTCTTATCTTATTTTCATCAACATGTCCTACGGCGAACTGAACGCTAAAGCGCACATGATATAGCCGTAGTCAGTCTTTCCGCGATAAATCATCAACATGGCTGACGCACAAGCCGCTCAGCTCTCGGAGGTTGATGTTGACCTCGCAATCACGTCAGTTTTGGATGATTTAGACGGAATATCGTCGCTCAAAAATGAGCAAAAAGATGCATTGAACAATTTCAAAATAGAACGCACCGAGAAAAGGAACACTCGCGAGAAGATCTGTGTTTACAAAACAACAAACATCACTTGAATACTAGTAATACAGGCGCGCCATTGGCCGTCGCCTCTGAGGCTCAGCCAATCAAATGAAGCCCCGCTGCTCGGGCTAGCCCATTACGTGACGCCATCACCAATCGTTTTATATGTGATCAAGTCCAGACCCAGTTATAGAGTTGGCGAATATACTACTGGGGATGGTACCCAGGCTAACAACACAGTCCTTCGATTCTTGTTGAATTTGAGATAGACATGACTAAGAGAACTAACATTTGTGTTGGCTGAAAGTCTTCTGAGATGTTTCCCCTCGTTAAGGGTGCTCAGGTCTTACTAACCATGGTTTGAGTTGTTGTTAAGGTTGACTGACAACTTCCTAAGGATTTCATAATAAACATGCCTAACCCTGTAACAAATAGAGAAGTGGTAATCAGTAACCAAATGGTGACTTCAGTGTGCCAAATGTTAATCCTCAAATTGTTACTACTCTCAGACAATGTGTGCATGGCTTAGCTAAGTTACAGTGGTGTGTGTTAGAAAGACTTGAAATAAACCTTACTGAAAGTACATGTAGATGTTTGCTGCACATTTTTAGCTTTACCAAGCTGTGTCCATGCGACATGTAACCAGACAAGTGACTGTGTCCTGATTGATTTTGCCCATCCAAAGGCCTGCCAGCCTTGAATGGAGTACTCCTTATTGTGCGGCCTTAAAATCAATAACACATACAGGTCTGATTGTTTCTGGGTTCTGCTGTCAGTTATCTTCATCATCATGTTTAATATATTTCCCTCAGCAGAAACATCAGTGAGGAAGTGGACTGTGTGGTTGTGTAAAGTACAGACTGTTAAAGGAAGTTGCAAGTTACCTGACATTGTTTTTACAGCAGGGGTCCAGCTCGCTGGGGATGACGTCCCTTGGTACATCTCTGGGTACCTCCATTGGGAGTTCCTTACCATCAATGACATTCGCACAGCAGCAGAACCAGGCTCCTGACCAACAGGTACTTAATTGCCCAGAACTGTATCCTTCCAAACACACACACACACACACACTCACACACACACACACACACACACACACTCACAAAACACCCTCTTCACACTCAGTTAGATTTAAGATTTGATTTGCAGTAATTACATCTTACATGCCCATCCCCATCTTCTTTCATTGAACACAACTTTCTGCTGGATTCATTTGATTAATTTTGGTTCACATGATGTAATAGCTTTCTTTACTTCCCAATTTGTGTTCTGAGTTGTTGTGAAGCCATTGGCTTGCCACTGATGAACCAATAATCAATGGATCATTTAATCATTATCTATAAAACTGTGTTAATACAATACAGGGTAAGTTCAGACTTTTCAGATAGCATCAACTATCTTTCCTCTGTGACTGAGATACTTAATTCTATCTGAAATGTCTTACTCCTCAGAGAATGTATCCAGTTACTTGATTTAGTTTGTACTAGTATTATGAAATGTTGTACCCGAATGCTTAACCTTCGTCGAAACCTGCACAAAACTAACTTTTTGTTTGGTGTTACTCAATCCTGGGTGTTGTCCCTCCCCTTACCCCCCCAGACGAGACCCAACCAGCTCCCCCCCAGTCTCCAGCAGGTGATCCAGCCCCCCTCGTCTGCGGCACCCGGCAACGCGCAGCCCCCTGTGCAGCCCCCTTTGTCGTCTGTCCCGGCGGCGCTGTCGTCTGTTCCCCAGCCGCTCTCGTCGGCGCAGGTGGGGCCCAGGCAAGCCAAGCCGCCCAGGCGGAAGATGCCACCCCCATCCAAGGTGGGCAAGTCCGCTGTGAGTTCCCTTGGGATACATTTGCCTTCTTACGGGTTAGACAAACCCTTGTAGTTACATGTACCTGTGTGATTCCTTCAGGTTTATGAAGTAATGTAGTCCAAGTAATGTTTTAGAAGTACTGGATGAGATAAACTCTTGAAGTTACTTGCGTGATTCCTTAAGTTTTAAAAGTAATGTTAAGGTTAAAGTTAAGGGCACTCTAGGTGTTAGGGATAAAAAGTGCCAGTCCTAACCCATTTGTGTGTAAAGTCTCCAATGCACCCTTTGATTCTGTAGTTTGGTAATGAATGTGATCTGTTTTTTTACTTCATGTCATTAGTCCTGTATGTTAACAGAATGCTCATTGATAAAAAAAATCCTAAAACTCAGGAATGCTGAAGCCACCATTGCTAACCATATGCGAAAGCTTTTACTGAGTCTGAGTAGTTCAAATCTGAAGATAAATCACCTGTTTTTCCATGCAGCTTAGAGGTTCCGCGTACCCCATAGACATTCTGACTCCTGACAGAATGTATTCAGTTGCTTGATTTAGTAGAATCTTGTTACTAACAGACTAACTCAGGTCCGATCCTCCACCCCAGATCCCAGAGTCAGCGGTGGAGATGCCGGGAGGTTCCATGTACTCAGTGGACAGTCTGGACATCCAGTTCGGCGCCATGGACTTTGGCTCTGAGTCAACGACCTCCACCGCGCTGGACTTCGGGTTCGGTACGGATGGGACGAGCAGTTTGCTGGGAACGTCAACTCTGGGGGTGTCGACGTCGGGAGGGAGTAGACTAACCGCCACGAATACGTAAGGCTGTTCTGTCCAGAACTGATTTATTAGGAATCTCCATTAGTGAAAAAAAAACAATTGTGTATTTCTTTCTTTTTGTCACACAGACATATATACACCTTCAGATGGCTGCTAAGAAATAAGTGCTATTGTTTAGATGTGAGTGAGTACTTCTGTAGGGTTCAGATGATGTCACAATTTTAACTTTCGTTCTTCTGAGAGTAATGAAGCCATTTCATTCCCTGATGAACTCCTACATATGTGTACATGTACCAGCACAAAATTTGACAGTTTTTGATGACCAAGTTGACAAAAGAATATTAATTCTTTTGAATCTTTGATGTTTTGTAGAGATACAACGTATGGGTCAGGGTTCACAGGGTCAGGGGTCAACGAGCAGTCGCTGCAGTCCATCATGTCCACGGGCGCCACGACGACGACCCAGACGACACAGCCGTCAGTCGAGACGCCGTCTCCGAGATCAGCGTACCAATCTCCGCACCACACCCCGCAGAAGGACACATCTAAAGGCATTCAGGTGGGACACTTGAGTTATGTACAAGTTGTAGGACAGACACTTAATGTACTGGTGCAATGATTTTGGTTCAGATGATGTAATAGCTTTCTTTACTTCCCAATTTATGTTCGTCTGAGTTCTTGTGAAGCCAATGGCTTGCCACTGATGAACCAATAATCATTCAAATCGAACCAGTGTTATCTTCTTCTTGTCCTTACACACTCATTGTGATTTCTGGAAAAATACTGTATCCTCTGTAGCCCTTGTGCCTAACACACTAGGTTCTGAATGTTGTTTTTTCTCTCCACTGGTTCCAAGGTTACGGGTCCAGAACCAATCCCCTTCCCGTCATCACAGATGGAGGGGAAGGCAGGCCCCCTGGTGGGGTCACAGAGGTCACAGCCCAGTGGCATGGATGGTACGTTCCTCTTTTAGCTGGTTTCTGTTTCTGTTGAATGGGTGGTTCCAAGATTCAGATGATGTTTTACAACATTCAACTTTCCTTCAACTGAGTTTGTTGTGAAGTCAACTTGTACAAGGCTGATGAATCTTGACTTTTGTTAATCGCAGAGGTCTGAAATAGAAGCAAATTTTCTGAAATCTTGGTAGACAATGTTTTGATGGTCACACATTGTAAAATGAACTTGGATTTCTTTTGTTTCTGTATTCTGGTTATATGTATATGTATGTTTATTATTTTGTAGTCATCCTGTCCCTTGTGTGATTTTATGATGTAATGTACTACTGGTAGATGTGTAGGACCGCAGGAAGAGTAGCCTTTCTGTCAAGCTAATTGTGGATCCAAATAATGACATAGAATACTTGTCTGCCCGTGCCAGCTCTGGGCTCCAACAAGAGTGAGCCGTCCCTGTCGTCCCTGCCTCCACCTCCAGGGGTCGCCACCTCGGCCTCCCAGCTGTCCTCACACCAGGCTGTCTCATCTGGCCTCTCAGGTGGGTTTGTGTGTTTGCTTGTGCTTGTCTTCATGGTAACAGACTCTAAACATCACCTGCTTATGCCCTTTAGTGCAGGTACAATTGGGGTAGTGCAGGTATTTCTGATGTCTACCGAACCTGCACTGGTCCATGTCACATTTACATTTATTTATGAAGATTTACCACATTTGTGGAAGGATTGACATAACAGGTGACTACCACCTTTTCAAAGATGTCAACCCCGAGACCAGGCTGTAAGGTTTGAACCACTCACACCGGGAAGGTCCCCTACTCTTTTCGATAAGTGCGGTGGGTTCTTTAACGTGCGTGGGGTGTGACTCTCCCAAACACGGGACCTCCATTTTACGTCCTATCCGAGGGACGTCCCTAGCCAAAGGTAGGTACTCATTTTCACCTGAGTGAAGTGAGGAAAGTCGTGTAAAGTACCTTTCCCAAGGGTACAACGTCGGGGCGCATGTTCGGACTTGTTCGGGTACGACCCGGAATCGAACCCGGGTCTCCCCGCTTCGTAGTCCAGTGATGTACCACTACACCACACGACGCCACATGTCCTGGGTGTATGTATATACATGTAAGTGGATGTGGATTCTTATTTGCTGCATTGACTGTCATCACCTATGAAGAGTAAAAGAAATGATAGCAATAGTTTCTAAATAGTCTAAGTATGATCCATGCTTTCTTGATTTTGAGCGATGGAGGTAATTTTCAATGTTGCCCGTACCAGTGCAGGTATGCAGAAAAAGTATTTCAAGCCCCGATCCTGGATGTCGCTAATGATGCTAGGGTTCCTTGGAAGTACCTCATGACTGATGTAAGATGTTCTCTCTCCACAGGCTCGTCGTACGCGGCACACTCCACCACCACCCACTCGTCAGGTCACCACAGCTACAGGGACACCAGCGGCAGTCACACCAACTCCATCCAGGGCTCAGCCATCTCCTCCACCAAACTGGGCTCCGGGCTCAAGGACTCCTCAGCCTACGACTCACAACTCTCCTCCAATCAGGTAGCTTCATCCTTCTACACTACACTCACAACTCTCCTGCAGTCAGGTGTTTGTTTTATCCTTTCTTTATTCATGAAATTCTCAAATTGCCATGTTGGCTGCTTTTCATTGAGTTCATGAAGGAAGAGGTAATGGTTAGACAAAATGTAACAAAATCCAATTTACATGATTGAAGTCCTAACAAAGTAAATAAAAAAAAAGTAAAATTATTCATTACTAGACTAACAACACCTTTTTTTTAAAATTTATGTTAAATAGCCCTTTGCAAATTGAGCCAATCATTTCTTTTGCTATCAGTTTTTGGGTTTCCAGAGTTTATGATTTGACAATATTCCTCTCTGGTCTCCTAATGATGAGAGCCTTTCTGGGGTCTTCTGATGCATGCTGCATGATGCAGAACTAAGCTGAGGGAGATGTAATATAATCTTTTCCTACAAAACTGTTTTAGAAGCTTTTAGAAGCAAAATAAAGCTTTAACCATCTTGCTGCTGTGCCTCGTAACCAATACTAATTTGGTGCCAAACAGCTATCTTGGGAGGCTGAAGGTTAAGAGCATGATGTACCTGTGATGTGAACATTAACACTGTTTTGTTTCAGCCTTCGCTGGATCACATGAGCCACTCGATGGCGGGAAGTCACACCACCGGCGGCACAAGCACCTCGGTACAGAGCAGCACGGTCCAGTCCACGGGATCCGCCGGCCTCACGTCCGCCCTCGGGCTCTCCACGACAGGCTCCGTCACCTCAACAACCGCACCGTCGCTCAAGGGGTCACTAGGCACCACAGGTATGTCTGTTTGTTTGCAGAGGTGAAAATATCTGGCTGTAAATGCAACCTGCACATGAAGTTGGAACTAAAAGTGTAATACAGGTGTTGGCGATGTCTGCCTGCACTGGGTATTTGTTCCTTACAAAAGGTGCCTTGTGGAGTTCACAATTCCCTCATGCATTCTAAAATTTAACTTATGTTAACATTCAAGCCAACAGACATAAGATTCAAGACAAAAGACATTAAAATTAAAATTTAAAATGGTTCAAGATTCAGATGATGTTTTACAACATTCAACTTTCCTTCAACTGAGTTTGTTGTGAAGTCAACTTGTACAAGGCTGATGAATCTTGACTACGGTATTTTGTATCCAAAATATGTTACTGTAAATTCAGTTATTTTTCTTGGGACTTGATTTGATAGTGGGAGGGGAAGACTTTGAGACAGAGAATCTGAAATGAAGGAGGTCTTTGTGGTGTTGAAAGTCAATCAATCAATCTTTATTTAAATAACTAGCAGACGACAGTCTGAATTGAGTTGTTTTTACAGTTCATAAAATTGACGTTAAACAACACTAATGGTTTAAAGTCGGTAGTTGAAACATTTCTCTAGTATGGGCTATACAGTAGTAACACATAGTAAATGCATATTTGCAGAGGAGAGGTCACTGCTAAATCCTTGCAAATAAAGCCAGATACACAGTATGATATGTAAAGAGTACATGGTTCCAATGATGGTTTGGCTTGTCTAACTGCTGTGGTTTCTCTGTCTCTTTCTCTCTCGCCCACAGGACCTCATGTTGTGTCGAGTGTTTCTCAACCTCATAATGCCGCCCCTTTTCCAGGTAAAGCCCCTCCGAACCTCCCGCCCGGCGTTGGCCTCCTGCACAACCAGTATCTCATCGGGCCCGGCACCGCCGGCATGCTTCCAGCTTACGTAAGTTCCCACAGGGCAGGCAAGGGGTGCACACGCAGCAGTGCCACCTAGCAGGTCTCAGCAGTATGACAGGACATGCATAATTTCTTTCAAACTCAAGTGTAGAAAAAGGAACAGTTGTGAAATATGTGCTCCAAGTGGCAGAGAAAAAATTTCAGAAGAGAAGACTGTTTTGAGAGAAATGCTAATTGTTGCCTTCTTGCAGAAAACAAGAAAGATTTTAAAGGTTTTATTTTCTTGTAATGGTGATAAAGAGGCATAAGGACTGTCCTGTTGCTGAATCCATTTTTTTCTCCTCGGAACAGAGGCAACTTAAACCAAACTCAGTTGTTATATGCTGTACACCTGGTGGTTTTGCTGCAATTTAAAACGCTCTTGACATTAATCAATTATGTTGAAGATGCCTTTGTTCCATCACAAAACATCCAAGACTGTCACCACATTTCTCTTCTTATGTCCATTCATCCTGGGTATTTTCTCACCCTGCCGCAAAGAAATTTATTCCAAGAATGAGATGGTAAAAGAAACAAAATTGGGATTTCACCCACAAAGCAAATTTCTAGTATGCTTCGCAAATGATTGCTGTTGTAAATTTGCCAAAAAACCTTCCCAAAATGTGTTGAAACTGTCGGTGTGTGGTGTCTAAAATGCCCAATAGCTTTTGGGAAAGGTACATGTATTATGGATATGTCACTTGGAAATATATTTCAAGTGACAATTCCTTGTATCTTTAGAAGGTGCTGGTTTGGTACTTATATGGATCCCCACCACCATGTGGTAAACATTTCTAACGTTTTAAGTCTTGAAGGAAAAGGTACTAGATTTTGTAATTCAAATTATCGCATGAAGCTTGAAAGTTTTGCCTTGATGGCACCAAGCTTTTGTAGTGAAATATCCAAACCATGTTCCAAACCAGTAGCTATTACAAGCCAGTGTATGTGATGTAGATGTGGATTGTGTGCCGCTGCCAACCTTTCCTGAGTGCTCAAGTAAACATGCATCATTGTGAATCAAAATTCAGTGCTCTGACATTTGATTCAAGTATGAAAAGTCAGCAAAAAGCGTCATGTATCCTGCGCCTAGGTGCAATACATGAAACCGTGTTCACAGAATGTTTCTCTGTGTAAATGTGAAACGGGGATGCATGCAGAATCAGATGTTAAAACTACTCTCAGGAGAGGTTCGCTATAGACCTTTGTACTGTAGTGTAGTATTCTGTAGCATATCATGTTTTTTTAAGAAAAAGGAGAAGAGGAAAAGTGCAGAAATGTGTGGAATTTCGGGACTGTTGACGCCGATTCATTGTTGGGATTTCTCCGTCTCTTTTCCTAGGGTTTTTTTAACTGGCCTCAAAATGCAGCTCGAATGGCTGCCCAAAGCCAGGTGAATGAGAGTAACACACAGCTTTTTTTCATATCCTTCGGCTTTTGCAACTTAATGACGATCGCTGGCTCCTTCCAACGTTGCCAGAGTCCTTTGGGTTCTTGCCCCAAGAAGTACTGTATATCATGTTATTGTAGCAAGGTCATACCATGCAGTTTTTCCTTAGATTCTGGGAGATTTTTCAAACAGAAACCCTACTGCTGCCACAAATTGTGGCAACAGGATTTTGAAAAGCTGTGTCTGAAATTTTAGAAGCTTTTGCTGCAATAACATGATTTACAGTAAGCTTCCGTACCCCTACTAACCAGGCTGCCTATTTGTGGCTGCTGATTGGTGGTTGCCGATTGGTGGTTACTGATTGGTTGCTACTGATTGGCAGTGACTGTTTGGTGGCTGCTGATTGGTGCTGCCAATTGGCGGCTGCTGATTGGTGGCTGCTTGCATGCGACCCTAGGGGCTACTTTTTAGGTAGTGGCATAAGCTGGTTTACTTTACATCAACATATTTTTTTGTCAAGCATATCACATATTCTCTGCATACAGTATTTTCTCTAGTCGCCACACCTTTAAGTGCTTTGTAGAAGGCTCTCTTTTTCATAAATAGAAATTCTGAACCTTACAAGGTAACATTTTATGATCGGATATGCAGATGTTAAATGTGTGGATCTTCTAGAGAAGATAACGTGTGTCAGCTACATATTAAAGGTTATATGCCGGCTACTTTGATTTCAGACAATTTTCTCCGTTTGAGAACTGTTGTTAACGCTGTGTAGATCTGATAGAGCGCTCGGTCAGTCTTTATCAACTCTCCTAAGGACACAGGTGTTACACACATTCCTGTAGAAAATGGTGCCAGTATGGCAAGAGAATTTGTTGCAAACATTGAAAAAAAAGAACAGCAAAAAGGCCCAGGTTACAATATTGAGACCAGTGGCAAGTGTAGTTAGCAGTTTGCACATGAAATCAAGGCACACAAAATTTGGACTGAAATGTGCCAAATTGTTCAGACTTCCCGTCAAAATGCCTTAACTGAAGTCATTTGACTTGCTTCATGTTTTGTTGAAGCGAGGTTTGCCAAATTGGAGTTGAAAAGAATTAGATTTGATATCTTCTGTCTGATGTTGCAATTGTGTAACCCATGTTCCAGAAATCAAAGTGAAGAAACTTGCAGTTCTGTTTGTTATCCCCTGACCAGGGCTTGTGTGTAACACTGCTGTGTACCTACAGCTGGGTGATGGGTACTGTACTCTGGGACATGTTGTGGTTTCATCTTTTGTCCTTTCTCTCCTTCCTTCCCTCCCTCCCAGCATCAGCCCATCTACAGTTTTGAGGACATGCAGGTGTTGCAGTCCAGGATGCCCATGGTAAGGAGTCATTTTTTTGTCTTACATGAGCAACAGTAATTTTTGTTTTGCTGAATTGCAGTGCTACTTTTTTGTTGCCTTGGTGTAATTGCATTGTTTCTCATCAGGCGGGTTACGCGTACGATATGCAGTTTCAGCCGCCCACGACGTTGACAGGGAGGGACGGGACACTGCCAGCGTACTCAGGTAGGAATGAAGAAAGTAGAGCCATTTTGTTCAATGTGTTTTGGTTGTTGGTGTTCCCACTGATTTGTTGTGAAGATATTTATGATTTACCATTATTGGTGTTCATTTACTTGATATAATTTGTGTGTACAACCAAATTATAATATTTCACTTGTGTCATTTATGACATCCTAAGTTTGTGCTATATTTACGTATTTTGGGCTCCCTTTGAAGTTAGCCCTTTGTGTAAATAAATTCACTAATGTAAATGTACCTGTTGCTCTACCCAGGCACAGATTCCAAGTTCACGCGAGGTGAAGCGTCGTCCCCGATTCCCTCCTCGGTTGCGGGGCAGCAGCAGCAGCAGCAGAGCACGCACCACGGGCAGACGCAGGCGTTCCTGAACCCCGCGGCCGGGATCCCGCCAGGGTACAACTACTCCATGCCATTTTACCACGGTGTGGCAGGCATCGCGCCCACGGGATTCAACTATCCACCCGCCATGTTTGTGAGTCTTTTATTTACCTATTGAAAGCTCTAAGCTTTAAACACTTTTTTTAACTGGCCTGTTCCCAGTAAAAAACTAAACATTCCTGATGATGTTGTTCAAACTTTCGTTCTACTGACACTTCTGTGTGGAAGAACATTGTCAACTGAAGGAAGAACACAAATCAGCAAAAAAAATTGAAAAAGTTTTGTGCAGGTTTGCAATCTGTTCATAATGATATCTATGAACACAGATTCAGCCTGCTAAGGTAGCCCTTTAGCACCAAACTTGTATTGGTTACTCAGTTAGGTAGCAGGGAGAAGTTTAACTCTCATGCATTGTTTGTACAGATGGCACCAGCAACAAAGCAGCATGGAGCGGGGACTGCCACGACACAGTTCCAGCAACCAGGCGGCTACGGGCAACCAGGCACGCATGGTTATGGAACAGGTAGGTTGGCATGGCAATGCCAGGCATAATCATGGCAAAGCCAGCAGTTTTGCTCTGGTTGGCACCTTAAGGTGGATTTTTCAGCATTAGCTTGTTATGGAAATTGAAGAATCGTTTTCAAACCTTCCATTAAAAGTTCTTCATCTTGTAAAACTTGTAAAAACCAGCAGTTCAGGTTCATGACTTTTTGAGAGAGGGCACTTTCCTGTTAATTGTGGTACCTTGCACATAACCTAGTAACTGCAGATGTCTGACTTCAGAGAGTTTCTAGTACCCTGCATGTCTGTGAGCTTGCCAGGCTGCCTATGCCTGAAGGGCGGCACATGTACATGCCATAGAAACTTCACCCAGAACCATTGTCAAGCCTCGCTCTACCATGCGCTTGCCACACTGATGTGGGTGATACAACTCACAACATTGTCATTTTACAACTTATACTAAGACCACCCTAAGTCATTTATTCTTGGGTTTTGAAAGAAAAGCAGGACTGGAAGATAAACACAATATAGATTCTGAGCAGAAAGTCTCTATCATGGTACCATCTAACTATTCAGCCTGTTGGGGTCTCCCTAAATCCCTTCCATGTTAATTGTAGTGTTTTAGCTGCTCACTGTTCTGTTGTCTGGTACCCCCTCTCAGGTTACGATGACCTGACACAGACCCAGGACTTCACCAAGAGTGGTTACCCCTCCGGCACACAGACTGGCTCCAAGGGAACAGTCGGGTCCACGGGCAAGGGTCAGACATACATTTGTTTGTGCAGATTTCTCTATTTAGAAGTAGATAATGAACTGAAGAGATTCATACTACAGAGACTGAATTACAGCTCAACACAACTACTTAAAACTCAGTCAGATTCAGTATATGTCTAACAGAATGTTGCAGAACTTAGTGATGTTAAAAGTTGTCCTGTGTGTCCTGTAGGATCGGTAAGTTCCGGCACGTCTGCGGGTTCAGACCTCAACATGTATGGCAAGACTCACCAGGTGGGTAAACACACCAGGACATCTTCTCTCCAACTGTCTTAGATAGAAGTATGAAGCTTTATGTCCCATTGGTCATTTGTTTCCAAGGAGCACACAGGGTGCTCTCGTTGGATAGCAAATCAACATTTGAGGTCTCAGCACTGAATAAAATTAACCAAGCAGCACTAAGGGCCTGCAAAGTATCAGTTTTTCACATCTTCCATGGCCCAAGACAAAACACAAACTTGATTGCACATGAACTGTACAAAGTACACAAAGTAAAGTGTGTAGTATGGGTTGAAAATGTACTCAAAAGTGTTGACGTCATCGTTCCTTGTTTCCTAGACCAGAGGACTAACACCTTGACTTTGCCCCCCCCCTCAGTCGTTTGATAAGCAGGGATTCCCCGCCGGAACCCCCCTCCGTTCAACCTGCCGCTGGCTACAGGTGGCCAGGGGGGCCCCCTGAACCCTGCGGCTGCCACCGGCTACCCCCACACGGCGTTCATGACTCCCATGATGCCTCACCACACGCAGCACCACTCGCAGATCCCGCACCACCTACTGCAGCAGGACGGACAGGTAGGCACACCGGAGAGGGCAGACTTATGAAGGGGGCTCAATAAGTTTTTGGCGCCACCAAATTTTGGGGTATAGATATGAAGTATGAGGCTTTTGTTTTATAAATATCTACTGAAACTCAATGCATTGTAATCATCATTTTGCAAGCAAGGCCCTTTTTTATGAATATTCTTTTAAAGAAAAAATCCTTTATGCTTCTTAGTGAGGCTGAGAACTTTGTATCAATGCCCAGCTCGTAGTACCCTGCATGTCTGTGAGCTTGCCAGGCTGCCTATGCCTGAAGGGCGGCACATGTACATGCCATAGAAACTTCACCCAGAACCATTGTCAAGCCTCGCTCTACCATGCGCTTGCCACACTGATGTGGGTGATACAACTCACAACATTGTCATTTCATAACTTTTTGTAGGTACATTTAGTTTTCTGTTTTGAGGCTTTGTCGAGATCCAATTTAAAAGGCGTCCTTCTTACAGTGTTCTGGTGACCTTATCTGAGCCACAAAGTAGTTATTTTATACAGTTGGACAATATTTTACAAGTCTCTAATACAGTATAGTAGTGCCATACTGATGTAATCTTCTTATGTCACAGACACATAAGATGATAATTTTGAGTGAATAATGATGAAATACTTAACGTTTGGTGAAAACTATAATGTAGTATAGTTATTTGATTTCAAATGTGTACAAATGTAAGTAAAACAAATTTTAGCTGCAAACCTGCCACAGTTTATATAAATAATCCATTAATGACTTTTCCCCTTTGTGTTACTACAGGGAGGGACAAGCCAGCGGTCTCAGCCCAGCGGCTCGCAGCCCAAAGGCCCCAGCTCCAAGTCTGCCTACGGCTCAACCTACTGGGGGGCCAACTAGCCCTTGTACATGTCCTTCAATGAACCCCCTTCTCCGTGGGTTTTTGGTGGGGGGTGTCTGTGAACATTCTGTCCCTTCTGCATGAATCCGGAGCTGTAGTAGTGCCCCCTTGCATGGTTCTCGTGCATAACAGAGCAACTTAGAGTTCAGTATTCCTTCACGATAGCTTGTGACGTTGTGTGTGTCCCTTTGGGTGGGGGGAGGGGATAAGGATCAATGTTTCCGTATATAATGACAACAAAACAGTGGCAACTAGTGCTGCCCAGTGTATGTAATGTACATGTGTATGAATCCTCATTTTTATGTTCTGTATAGAGACTTGATAAAACTTCATAGTTAGATTGAGAGAGATGAGAAAAAAAGACATTCTTCAGAATTACAAATTGCTGCCACAGACTATGGATTTTTGTCTTTCTATGATGTGGTGTTCCGTTGTTGCACTTGGGAGGAGGCGAGACGGGGCTGGCTGTTCTTCCCGCCTCTGCGGGGAGTTCAGAGGTCAGCGCGGGGAGCGAGATGACGTCGGTACAAGTGCCTTACGAGGTGATGTGCAGGCGGGATAGAGAGTACGAGAAAGACGGAGAGGTTCTCTCCGTAGCTGTAAATTTCCTGTTCCGAGACTACTACGCTACAATTGTCTGCCTTCTTTCCTTTTCAAAAAAAGGGAAGAGACCAGTGACTTATTGCGAACTTGTGGAGGGTGAAGCCTCGAATGGAGCTTGTTTTATGCTGTTGCAGATGATGGAGAGAGTTCACTGTCACAGCCAGGATTTGGAATCCCCTTATTGTGCAAGATAACGAAAGTGTCAACAGTTTAAATTTTCAGTAAGGCTTTGTCCTGCCTTGGTTTTGCACCTGATGACGTAACTCTTTTTATTTTTAGGTTGGCAGGGATAAACTGAACATACATGGAGGTGCCAAACCAAGACTGTAGAAAGACTTATTGTAGGTGTTTTTAACTTCTTAAAGTACCTGCTACAGCCTGTATTGTCTTTGTGTCCCTGATGTTTCCTACACGTTAATGTGGCCCTAAATTGGACTGTAAGAGTTGGATTGTGGATGTGCCATGGGGAGGGGGATAGCCCTGCACTGCCAAGGACCAGGGTGTGTTGTAGTTCTGTACTAGGCCTTACATCTGGTCAGAACAACATGCCAAAATGATTTTCTTGGTTAACCTTGCTTAACCTTCTCCCTGCTGCCCAAACCTTCAATTTTTGGTTTAAGTTTGGTACAGAAAGGGTACCGCAGTTTTATGCTGCCTTTACTTAGAAGAATGTGCAACTGGTGTCCATAGTATGCAGGCATCACCAGTTAATGCTAGAAGTCCACTGTGGCCAGGACTAAGGCACCACGTTTCGAGGCACAAATGGAGTTTGGGTTAAATATCACATGGGAGGTTGGTATCAGATAAACCCTCCCAATGCCATGGGACCTCTATATACTCTAGTTCCAACTGGCCTTGGCATGGTGAGGGTAAGTCCAGGAATGGAGAACGGGGAATGTGAGGGTGTTTCAGTATACCTGTGTTGATGTGTGTTGCAGCAGTGCAGTGTCATGTGTCACTTCTCTGTGAACAGTAAACCTGCCACAGGGCACCTGGTGGTGTCCCAGCTAACAAGTCCAGACTGAAAACTACCCCATATTGGATACTACTATTGATGCACTTCTCAATGTAGGGCCTAAAGGATTGGGTATGCATGTAGTGGGGGGGGGTCTGTTCACTTTACATGTTAAGCTTAAGCATTTTTAAAGATTCTTCCATGATTTAAAAAAAATGGCAGCTTTACAATATATGTGGTAATCAGTTTATTGAGCAGCCTCTCTGCAGATAATGGTTTTGATGTTATCCCAAGTTAACATTAAGCAGAACTGGGAGGTTAGATGTGGAAATGAAATGATTTGGCATTCCTGCATTGAAGTTGTAAAGTTAAAAAAAAGGTCTAGGGGGGCCCTGTGGTAAGGTTTACTGGTGCTATAATTATGTAAAATGTAAACCACCCCCTATTGTCAAACATTTCCCCCGGTTTTACTACGTGAAGGCTTTCCAGCTTGTATTTTGCCCAAATTGAATTTGCCCAGTGTAATTGAATGGTTACACACCCCTTTGTTCTGACAACTCTAACCTTATATTGGATTGTATTAACATAGGGGTGTCTTCGAAATGTACTCAAGTCTGTATTACAGTAGAAAACATGGGTAAAAGCACAGTAGTTGGAAGAGATCTTGCCAAAGGCAAACAGTGCTGATTTTGTTTTCCAGTTCCATTTGCTGATGGAAACAGTAAACATTGGAATATGCTGTACATATGAATGTTAAATATTTTTTTATTGTAACCCTGATTTGAACCATTTTGATGAAAGTTGAGGCTGCACCAGTTCAAGCCGTTGGCTCTGAAAACTTTTTAAAGTGACATGATAACACACACTGTAGCTTAAAGTAAACTAAGTTACACTTACATAGCATCAGGAACTCCAGGCTTATAATTCAGGGACTTATTCCATGAAACAGGATTTTATTGGGTGCTAATTGTTGCTAATACAAGTTGCCTCTAGATGCTTGCATTTTAACCTGCTCCCTGCCAAAGTAACCTTTTGCCACTAAAATTGTATTTGTTACAGGATTGATTAGCAGGGAGAAGGTTAATTCAGAGAACCAAGGGCGTGAACTAGTGTGTCCTCAAATGACCTTGTGGCCCAATACAAGCTGGCTGATTTTAGGAGACACATAGAGTTCTGTTAAGCTCCCACATACCACATGTAGAGCTGAGGTATCAACTGCCCTTGGAGGTTTAGTGTAAGGTCCCTGTCTGGTATGTACCCACACAAAGGGTTCTTTCTTTTTTGTTTTGAGAAGGAAAAAAGGAAATAAAAAGGGAATGAATTCCTCTCAACCGAGTGCATGTTTCTGTGATGCATATGCGCACGAGTCTACAACAGACGCAGATGTAATACTAATTGTCACATGCAGTTCTAACTATACCTTTAGTGCTAAGGAAATGCTACATGTAATTCTAACTACATCTTTAGTGCTAGGGCATTGTCACATGTAGCTCTAACTACATCTTTGGTATCAGGGTACATGCCGCATCTACATGTACACCTGATATGGTACGCCGAAGGGCGGTTTAATTATTAACTAAGGCCATGTTGATTTGATTATATGGATGACATCCTCTGGGAGCCCCAAAACTGATGCGCGCGTGCGAATAAAAAAAAAGTTTTGCAAAAAAAAGTTCTTTTCATTATGAAATCTACGTGATCATGAGGGTTGAGCAAATGGCACAGAATATGGTTTGGCGAATAATCTAGTCTTCAAGTTCATTTCTTTACAATTTCGTCTTTTTTCGTTTGATTTTGGCATTCTACGACATTGGACATTTTTATTAATTGTTTTTGTAACTTATGGTATATTTTTGCTCATTTTGCAACTGTTTTGTACGATTTACAGTATGGTTGAAAACTTTTTTTTTTTTGGAAACGGCCGAAAATTCATGCGCGCGTGGATGTCATCCATATAATCAAATCAACATGGTAAATAGACCTAGGAAAAAGTCTCCCAGTCTTGTCGGGGTCGGTAGGTAGAGATTATCGTTTTTTTTTTCTTTATTAGACTTTGGCAATCTCTAGTGATCAAACTTAAAATACAGTTGTACTTGCATGAGGACACTTATATTTTCAATGTTGTAAAACCATTTTATCACTCAGGTGTCTGATCATGGAGCTAGAAAAGAAGGATCAGCTTGAAATATTTAATACGTCCCTTGCAGGTGTCCGACCTACAAACAAGTCTAGGGTAGACACTTTTTTCTAGGGTCTGTCAGGATAAAACATTTTTTTCTAGGTCTTATACCGGCTATACTGATACAGAAGTCCTAGAGCATTGATACATGTACGTCTCACCATCGTAGGTGACTATGGTGGTTGTTTATTTTTTTAGACCAGATAAAACTTGGTTATTTGATTGACAGATTCCCTTTAAGCATGGAGGTAGAAAAACCACATGCTTTAAGAAAGCAGTCATGGACATGTCGGGTTGGAGAAAGTTCCTTTTACTACAAACGTTTCCTTGGGTACATCAAAAACATCCAATCTCTGACGTTATTCAGTATGAACTGCAACTCCTGATTGGCTCGTCGTTCTGGCTATTCATTGGCTGCTACATCAAACCATTTAATCCCAGCCAATCACCGTTAAGGAACATACTCCTGATCACCCCGTGTTTTGATTGGCTAATATCTAGTATCTTTGCAGCCTTAAACCCCAGCCAACCACAATAAATGAAGAAACAAACATGCTTAAAAGCAACATATAGCCTAGGCTAACATTAGAATCTGCCATTTCACCACAACGTGTTCATAGTCTGCGAGTAAGTTAAGCTAACATGGTACTAACAATTACAATAGCATTAAGTACGGAAGCGACCGGCACTTTAACAAGCACAGACATATCAACAATCACAAATCAAATCCTTTTTACATTCCCCTAAAACTAACCACTAAGTCTTACCGAGCAATACCACGGAAGTAGATGGGAGCATTTTTTTTTGGTTTGGATTTTTGTGCTTTTTTTAGGTATTTTGCAACAAAACACGCACAGCATCGATAAGTACATTTAAATCGACTTTTTTCTTTCGAATTCGTGCGATGCACACGCATGCAACAGTAGCTTCTTTCACTTGCAGTAAAACACGCAACACCACGAAATTCCCTTGGAAAATATAGAATCACTACATAGAAAGATATCATTCGGGTAAATCTTATGCTTCGAGCTATCACCAAAATTACCTCTATGTTCAAATACATTTCTTAAAATTTGCCCTTAAATCTGAATCTGACACATTAACGCCCACTAACAAAGGAGCGCAATAATTCCTCAAAAAGTTCAAATTTATACATACAAAACTATACATGTATGTATCATTACTTCTCTCTGGCCCATCTCGGGTCTCTCACTGCTGTTTAGTCTCTCACTGCTGTTTGCATTGCTGCTTTTGACCCCTCTTCTTGCGGTACTTCTTCTTGCCGCCCAGGTACTTGGGGAAGTTGTCGGTGGCCTCGCGGGCGGAATCCTCGGAGTCCTCCAGCGCGACGGAGGCGCGTGAAGCGGTGGTGGAGACGCTGGTACGCGACACCGTGGCCGTCAGCGTGGCCGGGCCCGTACCGGAGGCCGTTTCGGCCCCGAAGCCAGTGGGAGCGGACACCGAGGTCGGTAGATTCGCTCCCACCATCCCAGCTTTCTGCTCGCCGCTCACTGTCACGGTCGTCGTGGTGGATGACGTCACGAACGTTGACGATGACATCACTACCGATGATGACGACGTCACCTTGGTGTCGGAGTCGTCAGAGTCCTCCGCCTTTCCGTTGCGCTCGACCGCAGCCACTCCCGCGACTGCCTTGGTACCTCCCGCTGGCACGACCTCGGCTTCCACGAATGGCAAATCGGGCCTAAAATACACACAAGTCCATTAAATATAGTCGGCTTGAAGTTAAAACATAGATTCCTATTCGGACCCTGCAAACTGTTGTGAAGCCAGCAAAATTTTACTCAAGACTTTCTTATGTCATGTCCTGGCTCGACTTTCTGACATCGAGGACAATTTGTATCTAACGCTTTACGTGCATTCTATTATATTCTTACCTTAACTTGTAGCTCCTGGGTTTACTACAAATAGAAGAGTGTAGATATTAGACTCGTTATATAATACTGTTTTAGCCTGTGGTAGCCAGCGACATTAGGGAGCGGGCGAATACTACGGAGGGTGGCACCCAGGCAAATACTGTTTACCAATTAGCCATAAATTCTTACGCAATAAAGTTGATGATATGTCCATAGCGAATGCACTGAAAGTATGTAATTGTAGATTTGTATTACGTCTGTCCCCTTCTTACCTCTGCTGGTCGTACCCCGGCGACCTCGGGTCGAAGTCGAGCCGCCCGGCGTAGCTGTACGGCCGGGTCTCCTTCCTGTCCTTGGTGGAGGAGGCTGAAGACGTGCTGCTGGAGGTGCGCAGGGAGGCGCGGGAGAGGTCTGGCCGATCGCCGGGGGACACCATGCTGATAGGCCGTACGGGCATCGTCGTGGACCGGGACAGCTCCGGGTACTTCTCGGTGGAACGCGGCAGCGAGCCCGAGGCGTACGCCTGCCTCTTCTCGTACGGGATCCGGTCGATGCTGCTCGAAGACGACGACGACTTCTTGTCCTTCTTCTTCTTGGTGGAGAAGGTCCTCTTGAACTTGGACCATCCCGTCTTTTTCTTCTCCGCGGACGCCACATCTTCCGCTGAAGGTGTCTTCCCGCCCGTGGAAGGCGTCCTCAGCTCGGCGGACGGTGTTCTGCCCGCGCTGCCCTTCGGAGTCGCGCCCTTGGCGGGTTCCGCCCACACGACCTCCCCAATGGCGACGGGCAGGTCACCGGGACGAGTCTTAACATCGGGAGCGCCTGCCTTCGTCTCCTTCTTGAGCGTCAGGATTGTTTCTTCAGGAGTCGGGGTCTTCTGACCTTCACCAGGCTTTACATCAGCTGCCAAGGTCACGCCAGGTGAGAAGACGTCGTCTTCTCCTTCGGCAGGTTTGGTCTCAGCCTGGACAGGCGTCACGCCTATTTTTTGGACAGGTGTAGTCACACCTGCTTTTCCGGAAGTCGTCCCCTTCTTCGCTTCCTTGTCCTTCTTCTTCTTGCCGCTGAACATTTTCTTCAGGCCGGACTTTTTCTTCTCCGGCTTCACAGGTGCAGGTTCGGCGGAACCGTGAGGAAGTCGCACCGCTTCGATGGCGACACCGCCGGTCGGGGTCGTTACTTCGGCCTGCGTTCCAGCCTTTGGTGTCGTCACTCCCGCCTTGCTGCCTACGGACACAACAGGCGTGGTTATGTCCACTTTGCCAGGTGAGACCTTTTCTCCATCTACGGTAGGTGTTACCATGGTGCCCCCTTCCTCCTCCGATGTGCTCACGCGCTCGGGCGCCTTCTCTCCCACCTTGAACGTGGGTGATTTAGCCTGGAACTCCTTAAGTTCCTTGACCACTGCCGATTTTGCGTCTCGGACCTTCTTGTCGGCGGTGATGTCGTCCGGCTCCAGGCTGCTGACGCTGCTGGAGTCGCCCACCTGGGGGGACTGCACCTGGCCTGACAGAATTGGAACTTCATCCACGTCTTGCAGCCGCGGTGGAAGGGCCGGGGCTTCGTCCTCTCCTAACGAACACGGGGAAAATCGAGATGTTATTCACATCAACTTCGACAGTGTCTATATGTAATTGTGGTTAGATCAGTAGATGTCGTTCGTTGTACCTAGTACAACTTGTGTGCATTGAAGTTTACATGATTAGTTGGCATGTGATGATGTTTAGGTTTAGTTTTACATGGCTGATCTCTGAAATCTTGAAAATCAGAATCTATCCATAGATATATAAGACCCTCCAGCGTCCAGTATCAATCCAGTCTTGAATGTGACAACCAATCTTGCTGAAAATATAACTGACAAGGTTAGCATCGTGGATGATTAGCCCTGAAATGACATGAGTACCGTGTTAACTTCGATGATATCAATGATGATAGAATGTGGAGATCTATGCTGAAGCGGAACTAGCAGGCGAACTTCTCTGGTGGAAGGCGACGATCTTGTAAAGACCGCTTAGCCAAGTGTGTAGCTTGGTACTTTGCATCTATTGATCTGGAAGCGTCTGTCTGTCTGTCCACCGTCTGCAGCTCAAAGTGCATGCAAAACTAAACCCCGCGTCCCGACAAGCCTAGGCGCTAGTTCTACCGGCGGCGTGCACACGGGCGGATCCAAGGGAGAGGATGGAAGACGTTTGTTGGCAGAGACGCACATTGAGGCCTAAGCATTGTAACAAGTTTGATGTTGCTCCAGCACAAAATAGGTCCAGGGCCAGGAAGTTTCATTTAACTCATTTGCTTTCTTTGGAATAACAGACGGACCATAAGGCCCCTGATCCGCTAGATGGCAATTGCTGAGCGACCGCATGGCGACCAAAATCAAATTTGCGTGACCCTTGATTTCTCAATTGGAGTATGATGCAGAAATATAATCTTATAGAAATCAAAAACACACAAAACGTAAAAATACAGTTCGTTTTCTATGCATTTCGTTGAGAAATCTTTGAAATCTTTGGTCGCAGACTCAAGTGAAAAGGGGTATCAGTGACATCAGTTATCCCAAGTAAGGCTTTAGAGACAGACAAAACTTCGGCGACTCTAGAGCATTTTGTGTTGTAGTAAAATCAAACTGAATACAGGGCCTATCGCAGGGCGTGAAGGCTGCGGCATGATTGATGTGATACCTTCGGCTTCGAGCTCCCCTTCGTCAGACATCACCGCTCCCGGCAAGGGTAGTTCCGAGTCCATCTCATCTACAAGGTAAGACCACAAACACCACCGTGAACCGTGCGTAGGGGGGCTAAGGGTGTGGGGAGGGGGGTGACCTTGGTAGTGCAGAGGTTGGGAGGGGTGACCTTGCGAGTGCAGGTATGGGGAAGCGGTTATGTTATGGAGGGCAGAAGGCGGATGGTGTTTGTTTTAATCTCTACCAGACTCCCCGAGTAACTGGAAAAGTAGCATCGGCCAGATAGGTTGAATAATATGCCAGACAAATTAGCCGGCCCTCAGAGAGTTCACCATTTGCTACTTACGCCATTTTTCAGGGCCTTTTAGCATGGAGTCTAGTAACACCATTTTGTAGGTCTAAATTGGATCCAAAGGTTCATTTGTTCATTGGGCCGGCAAGGGGCACAAGGTTCACAGTTCCCATCGTGCACCATGCTGCAATCACATGCACCCTCTCCCATCATGCACCATTCCCAGCACGCACCACGCAGGCACAACAGGCAACTCAACTTGTTGTTCTCACAATCTTCAGTGCTTGTAAATTAGCCCACAAATACCTCAGAGATGCCCAGAAATATGAATCCGGTATCAATGTTTTCATGTAGCAATAAATTCAACTGAACGCACACCAGGGTTAGGTGGGCGAGGGGTGGTTAAAAATCATTTTAAGAAGCTAGGGCAAGATTCAAAACCTAGAACACCACAACACGACGATATCACAAGGTTTAGATTTTATTTGAATCTTTGAGAGGGTCCCACTGCTTGAAATGTGGTCACCAGTTCAGGCCCACACAAAACTATTCAGAAGTGGAAAGGGTTTCCATTGAAAACTTGTTGTGGATCTGTCCTTGGTGCTGAATGCCATTTTTGTTGTTATAGATTGTTCAATTTGCACTTACGTTACTCCCTTTTTATACTTTAGAAGTTGGTTGGTGAGCTTCAACTACTGCCATTCATACATATCATATACAACAATGAACAGCGAAGTGTGGATCTGTCCTTGGTGCTGAATGCCGTTTTTGTTGTTTTAGATAGTTATGAGGTTCACGTGATGCCGTACCTGTAATCACGAGGGGAGCACGTGACGTGGCCTTGCCCATGATGTTGGTGGCCACGCAGCTGTACAGACCGGCGTGCTCTGGAAGGACCTCCATGAAGACCAGTGAGCTGTAGCCCTTGTCTTTCACGATGTCCAACTTGTCCGTCGGCTTCAATGGTTTGTCCTGTAACAAGAAGGCTTAGAAGCGTCAAAAGATTGAGTTGAACCTCAACCATTTGCTGACGTTACACGTGCCCTGAGCGATTGGGTCAGATATTTGAAGACAACTGAGTGAGTCAATAAAAAAATGTTGGTGACTCCAATAATCTATCGAGTTGGAGAAGAGTTCCTTAATGTAATATACCGACTCAGATGAACTTTCGTTTACGTAATTCATTTGCGTCTGTACTGTACTGTTGAACAAGTACTGTTAAGTGTTTGGATACTGAAACTGACAAGAGAAAGCTGAAAATTATATACCCAATGGCGGGAATGTAGAATAGTTTTGTATAATGATCTATCTTTGTGTGAAGATCAGCCTTATGATTGGTCAGTCACCACCAATGACTATTCTAGTCATGGTAAAATCTAACGTTATATCATCTTTAAGCACCATGTATTGTCCAAAGTACATATGGCACCGCAAACATTGTCCTCTTTTTTTAATCATTAGTAACAGAGAGAGAAAGAGCACGAAAGAGAAACGCACATGGTGGTACCAGGTGATATCCGGCTGTGGGTCACCAGAAACCTTTACTGCAGCCTCAAATGTGGACCCCTCCTTGGCTAGCATCGTGGACAGCTTCTTAGTGAATGCGGGAACAGCTGTGGAGGAGACAATCTAGTAAGGCGTCTCAAGTGTTCACAAGACATGCAAAAATGAGGCCTAAAAATTAAGTGCCGGTCGACTGGTCACATTCGTCGTACGAAAATTCAGGTCGGTCATGTTACGGATAAGGCTGTTTCTGGTCCTTGTCCACAGTTGGTTCTGTCACAGTTTGCTACAAATACAACATCAGAATCGTGCGACGGTGTACGATGATTGTGACCGCGCCCGAGGTGCCATATAAACATGGAGCAGAATGGATCTGCTGTCTACAAGATTTCAACTTTCGGTCCATATGGGGTGCAAGGATGACTCAAGGCTTATTATAAGACATCAGATAATCGACACGCTTCTCGTACACATCCATTCAATTGCATCAATTGCGTGATCGGGTGAGGTTAAAAGTTTGTACTGGTTTTGGATAAGCATGCACAAAACACAGGTCAGAGGTTAGGCAGCACATGCAGCGGTATAGGAAACATTTGTGTGACTTTCCTGCAAGATACAAAGAAAGCCTAATCTACAGCATATCCAGACATTTCATAAGTGAGTTGTTCATGCCTTTAATTGCTGCGTTTGTTTAAAGTGTTATTTTCGTGGGCTAGCCTCTACATTGGCTATGTGACAAGACTGGGACCAAACCTTTCGTTTTGTCAATTTTCCATTGTAAGCGGACTGGAGCAAAAGAGAAGACGCAAAATTAGCATATCTATTCATCCATTGTACTAGTGCATGTACCTATGCGACAGAATAGTGCGTACAATGATACCCTTTCCCTCAAGTCAAAGAACAGGAAAGTAGATGATACTTGGTTTTTTTTCAAACTCTCTGGACTGTACTTAAACAAGGAGATGTAAAACTGTAGTGAATATTTCCCCTCTGTCTCAGTTACTGAAATATTGTAAGGAAACTGACACTCGGAAAGAATTTAGTATTTCTAGTAATGATATGAAGAAATTTTCAAATGTCATACAACACTATATATTGGGTAGGACACATAATCGACTCTTGTTTTGATCCAATTGATTATACGCTAACCGCATGGGCAAAGACATTATTACACCCTTATGCTCTAGATGGAAGCCGTTGGAACCAACGAGCGAGCAAAAAGCATAGCGTAATAGTCACTGAAAGCTCATTGTAAACAGCGGAGATCACCGGGAGATCATTGAAAGATATTGACGACCACTGCTTACTCCAATTCTAGGACGTTCAGCAGTCTGCCAATGCTGTCACCTCCGTTTAATCCCCAATAAACGTACCTCAAGCAATTACCTCAAGTACAGAAATGTTTACCAACCTCCTGCTCTGCCCACCCCCGGTGCCAGTTGGTATTCCTCGACTTCCACCGTTTCCATGGTAGTGACGTCAGCTGGGAGCTTGTCGGACTTCTCCGGCCACACCTTGTTCCATGTTGGCTTACCCGGCTCTTTCCCGGCAACCTTCGCAGCAGGAGCGATCTTGACGTCACCGATCGGGGTTTTCTCCGTTTTCTCCATAGTGATGGTTGCTATGGGTTTCCTTCTGTCCTCGTCGTCGTCGTCCGTTCTCCCGATTACCTCCGGCGGTCCTGTCCTGAAGGAAACTCTTGGAGATTTCTTCAAGTCGTCTTCGGCTGCTTTCAGGATCTCTGGTGTCATTTCTTCTGTGTCCTCACCCTCCTGCGAAACGTGTCTGTAGTATTCTAACTCTGTTCTTTTCTGCCGAGCCGCTTCTTCTACCATTTTCTGTTGTGCACCCTTGGGTACCTGTTGTACTTCTGGCACCTCTGTGAAGAATACGTCACCCTTTTGTGGAGATGTGGAGTTTGCAAGTGGCCCGATGATTTCCTCGGCTAAGTCGGATGTCGTTCTTCGGGACTTCACCGGTTCATCTGGTCCCACATGTTCAGGGCGGATCTGTGCTTCTTGAACTTCACCCTGTCTGAAAAACTGCGGCTCTGTCTTCAGTTCCCCAGTCTTGACGTGCATAGGTGGTATAACATCCCTGGCTACCTCGGAGACTGTTCTCTGTTTGGGTTGCCTTTCGTCCGTTTCTGTCGGCTCTCTCCCGGGTAGGGCAGAAGGGATGACGACTTCTTCCCGAACCTGCCCAACTTGCAGTGGTCGGGGCGCTTTGAAAACCCCAGCCGATCGCGATGGTTCAGAAACGTCCCCTTCCATCTCAGCCGTGGGAATCGGTCTTCCTTGGTCCGCATCCACAAAGATATCTTCTGCGCTTGTGCTCCTCTCGATAGAGGACTCCAGAGGCATCGTGCCCTCGGTGACTTGTGCAGCGTCTCCCTCCTGCCCAGGACCAAAAAATGCGGACGTGACTTTATCCGTGACTTGCGCGAACCAGCTTTTACCGTCTTGCTGGTCTGCTGGGCCAGAGTAGTCCATCGGTTCTCCAGGCGGCGTGACGTACGCGTCGCTGGTCTCACTAGGAGGTGTGACGTAAGCGTCGCTTGATGCCGAGACGTAGGCATCACTCTGACTGCTCACCGGCGTCATGTAGGCATCTTGATCAGAGTCTGTTGAAGATCCAGCTAGGAACTCCTTCATCGCGGCCCGCCCTTCCAGCACCTCGACTTTGACGCGCTTGCCGTAGTCTCCGGATAACGCCATCTCTGAAGCGGGTACGTTCTTTGCCGCCACGACCTCCTGCACCACTCGTTCTCCGGAGGGCGTCATCACCACCTTCCGAATCACCGCTGTGTCTCCAGTTGGAACATTTCCATCCCCCTGCGTGGAGCCGACTTTGCTTGACACCCAGCGTGATCCGACCACCTTCCCATCTACAATGGTCACAGCGATGTCCCCAGGCTCCTTAGTCTTGCTTGACGCTGACTCCAGAAGTGTCTCGCCATCTGTTGGTGACAGAGGAGTGAGTTTTCGTTGGCCGACCTTTTGGGCCTCAGCAACGCGCCCGGCAGCTACGGTTAGCAGAACCTTCTCTCCAGGGGTTGTGTCGATTGCTTGCGGTACCGTGCCCGTGACGTTGATTTCTTCCGCGTCTTTTGGAGTCAGCTGTTGGACCTCTACCACCTCCTTACCGGCGAGAGTGGCGAGAACGTGCCCAGTCTGAGACGACTGTCCCGGTACGGATGAAATGATGTCTTCAGCCTCGGCTGTGGAAACCTGTGTGGTTACTCCGTCCTTCAGTTTCCGTGCTCCGACTACCTTCCCGTCCACAATGGTGGCCATCAGAGTTTCGGACCCGCGGATGTCTTGGCCAGGTGCTCTGTCGAGCGGACTAGATGATGACATTGTCACGGCAGGTTTCGCTTCTTCTGCTACTACCACCTTGATGGTCTCGGCCTCTGTTGGTGTCAGTTGCTGGGATTTTACTATTTTGCCCTGTGACATGGTCACCATGACGTCCCCGGAAATCTGTCCCGGACGAGCGACAGACCTCCAAAGTTCTTCAGCCTCCTGAGGGGAAAGTGGCGTGGTCTTGTCTTTGCCAACACGCTTCCCCACTATTTCTCCTCCCTCTAGAGTAACTATTGCCTTCTCGGCATCTGGAGTAACTTCCTCAGACACAAGAGACATAATGTTCTCCGCCTCTACTTCAGTGACGCGTTTCGACTCGACGACTTTGCCGTCAGCTACCGTCACGATTACATTGCCTGGCTTCTGCACGGGAACGTAGGCCAAAATTTGTTGAGCTTCCATAGATGATAGGTCTTTCGTATCTCCAGGCCTTAGGTGTTTGGCCCCAGCGACCTTTCCGTCGACAACATTTACTATAATTTTCTCTGACGAAACCGGTTTCCCTGTGGCAGATGGTTCTGTTGAATCGAACGTAGATGGAGTTGGTAAGACAGACGCAAATGCCGGCTGAACTGGAAGTGTTTTCGGTTCTTCCACAACCACAGCCTTGATGGTTTCTGCTTCCATTGGTGTGAGATGCTGAGATCCCACGATCTGTCCTTGTGAAAGGGAAACGACGACATCTCCGGTCTGCTGTCCCGGCTGAGCAACAGATCTCCAAAGTTGTGCGGCTTCCTGAGGAGAAAGGGGCGTGGCTTTGTCCTTACCGACACGCTTTCCGACCACCTGGCCTCCCTCGACAGAAACTACGACTTTCTCAGCTGTAGGGTCCGGTTGTTCGGTTACTAGTGACACGATCGTTTCTGCTTCTTTTTCCGTAACTGGTTTTGTATCAACAACTTTTCCCTCCGTGACTGTGACCATGATGTTACCTGACTTCTGGGCCGTCTCAGCAGGAACTGAAGCCATGATTTGTTGAGTTTCTAGAGGAGACAGTTCTTTTGTCTCTCCTGACTTGAGCTGTTTAGCTCCTGTTACCTTTCCGTCGGTGACAGTTACCATAATCTTGTCTTCTTGTGGAGTAGCTAGCTGTGCTGTTGGTAGTATGCCTGGCATAAATGTCGGCTGAGCTAGAGGTGGACACACGATAGGTTTCT